AAAGGCCAGGAGACGCAGTTCGGAGCGCTGGCTCTCAGCGTGTCCTCCGGCCTCGACCTGACCAGTTTAATAGACACAGAAGTCTCCCGTTCAGGAGGGCATCGCAAAACCCACCTCCTGGTAACGTGAGCCACAAGCAGGTTAATGAGCAGAATAAACTAAGCAAAACAAAAATAAGCAATGTTAAATGAAGAATAGGGCTGGCATTCAGCAAAGAGCAGAGGTTTCCCAGAAGCACCTGGGGCGCTCCTCACAGTTTGAGTCTGCCTCTACGGGAACATGAAGCAGGACGAAGTGAGTAAGTAGAATCCTGAGTATCTTGCGGAGTGAGGGAGAACAAGGAAGTGTGGGCAGAAACTGCAAAAAATGTCAAAAAGTAGAAACCTCTTCCCCTGACTTCCACATTCTACTAGAGACCAAAGAAATGAGAGAGAGAGAGAGAGAAAGAGAGAGAGAGAGAGAGAGAGAGAGAGAGAGAGAGAGAGAATGAATATACCATGCTGGAACTTACCAGTTCTCCCTCACGGCAAGGGTTTGAATAATTCCTTCACTTCCCTAATGCCATTTTCAGACTCACTTCCATTCACATACTTCCTCCTCTGTCCTTCTTCTTTTTACCAACATGCATATGTTCTTTTTAAGAAAAAAATAAATATCAGATGAAATCTTAGAATGAAATTTATTTTCCCATAATATGTATTTTAGACATAAATCTTGAGGCCATGAATCAAGTGGGGAAACCAAGATGCCACAGGAGGCAGGTGGGACTTGCTTGTAAATTCCTCAGGAAACCTCCGGAAGGCTGAGTGAGTGAGACCGAGACAAGGACAGGCCCGCAGGCTGCTAACCTGGCGCCCCGTTCAGAATTTAAAGCATTTGTTCAGCTCTCACTTAAGGCGAGGCTGAGACCGCATGGGCGAGGGGCAGAGGAGGAAATGAACAGGAGGGGTGGGCAGAGCCGCCCTGCCACACAGGGACGCTCCTTCGTCTTTGCAAGGAGCCTGTGGGCACAGACAGCTGCACTGGCCTCGATGCTCAGACCCTCAGCTTACACCGTCCTCCTTCCTGAGACAGCACTGCCCCAGGATGCCCATGAGTCCTGGCTCCTCCCGCTGTGCGTCCATCTCTGCTTCCACAGTTGTCTTCCGCCCACTTTGCAGAAGGAACCATCTTGACCCTATCATGTGCCTTGCCCCCAGGGTGAGAATCTCCCAGGGGACAGAGAGCCTTTCAAAACCGAGGTGGCGCAGCCCCGCAACCTCCCGCCCTCCAAACCGAATCGTCTCCTTACGAGATGCATTTTTAAACCTCATCCAGAAACGTATGTCCAATAATTGTTTACTAAAATGTATATTATATTTATATGATTTTAATCATTTATGCATCAGTATAATTGTAATGACCAGTCAGTGCAGAAGAAAATTTTAAATACTTACAGTATAGGACATTTTCATTTATGAGCATATTATAATTTCAAGCAAGCAAATATATTTTGGTAGGATACATTTCTTTGGGAGAAGTGGAAAGAATGTGACTTCAGAGGGAAAAAGGCAAGACATAAAATTTTTACTATTGATTAATAACATTTGTGTATTTTTAAATGTGTGATGGTGGATATCACGTTAGTATAGTGCTTATTAGACTTGGGTATCTTTAATAGAGTGATCTTCAATTTTATTTATAAGTGTCATTATTTGCAGTATGCTAGAAGTTTCATTATTGATGAAAATGTTAGATGTCAACTTAAAATTGTGTGGAAAGGCAGGTAACATCCAAAAGATTTAGGGGGTACGTAAGCAAAACAATTTACAACTATAAGCATTGTCATTGTTCGTTGACTACATTCCTAGTGCAATGTCACAGACGGGCAGGCAGCTTGCGGCCGGCACACACACACCTTCGCCCAGGTCAAGGCCAGTCTGGCTCTGTGTTAGTAAAGCTCTCCTCTCACCAGGAGTTCATGTGCTCATGTGTTTGTCTGAAAGCAGAGGGTCTCTATTGATGTTGGATATTAATAACATGTCTCATGGTACTAACTACATTTACCTGAAAGTCCTGCTACAGAGCTGTTTTGTTTGCTCTCAGGGGACTCACGGATATTAGAGTTTATTAAGAATCTGGCTAAATGATCTCTCTAGTCCTCTCAGCTCCTAGAGTCCCACCTCTTCAGACACACCCTGCCTGACCATGCAGCAAAGCCCTAATTCAGAGGCACAATTTATTTACACTCATCTAACCAAAATTCTATCTCCTATTATTTAAAAAGAAGAAAAATATCTAAAAGGTTGTAGGTCTCTCTGGGCCTTTTTCTCCCATGGACATAGCTGTGATTCTCTGATTAAGATCACCTTCTGACAACACATGGTTCTGGTGCTGGTTTTGCTGTGAGGGCCCTGGAGGGACAGAGCTGTGTGAAAGGCTTTGACTCGGTGCATTTATCAAACGCCTTCAGACAGGACGTTCCCAGCTTGCACTAGAGGTGACTTTAAATTAGAGCGTGCGCAGCTCATGTCTCCGCTCCTTCAAGTGGGCAGGAGTCAGGGTCTCCAGGACCTTGTCTGCAAACCAGGGAGAGGTGTCCTCCCTCCACTGCTTCCTTGTTAAAGTGACAACCTGAGAAGACAAGGTCCAGGGTAGAAGCTGGGCTGAGATCTGTCCCAGCTGCCCCCTCCCCTCTCTCCGTGCTGGCCCGCGTTCACGCTGTGCATGCTCCGCACTGCCGCGGGGGCCCGCGTTCACGCTGCTGTCATCATCTTGCCACTGCCCAGAAGTCCCCAAAAGGCCAGACGGTCCGAGGTGTGAAGGTCACCTGCTTTGTGCTTTTCAGAAACTCAAATTAACTGGCGTGACTTCAGTGTACTTGCTGAACTATTGACATTTCCAGGATATAGAATTTTTCTTATTTTTCTTTAATCTGACATTTAACAGACTGCTTTGTAAACAGGCAGAGCTTCGACCCACTGGGCTTTCCCCATGTATCCGAGGCAGGGAGAGCGTCCGCCCTGTCCTCCGGTCAGTTGGTGGGCCCCCGATCGAAAACGGAGTTGTTGAAAGCATGCTTAAGAATAAGTCTCATTAATGCCCAGCCTGTCTCCACACTCTCTATTAAGTGGCCAGAAATTGACAGCAAGCTTGTCAATAGAAATGATTACATATGATTAGTTATTATATCGTATTTAATTTATATTTGAATTGCTACTTTTCAACTCTCTTTCCATTTTATGGACAAAATGCAATTGAGAAATTTAAGTCATCAGAGTTCTTAAATTGGGCTGTGCAACCTGAATGTAGAACTTTTGAAAAATACGTGTGCCTAGACCCCATACTCTGAAGTTCCTGATTCCCTAGATCTGAGCGGGGGCAGGCACCTACATGT